TTTGCTCCACAAGAATCACACACATTTAACTCGGAATTGATCTGGTATGGCGAATAACAAGCGGTGCAAACAGGAATTCCAACCGTTTAGTTGAACACGTTTGACAATTTGGGATGCCGATGTAACACTTTTCATATGATGTTTTTGTGTTTTTATAAGTTCCAGAAGCACAACTCAAACATGTTTGGTTGAAGAGGTAATACGGGTCTTGACACGACAAACACTTGTTTTCTCTTGCATTACATGATTTGCAGTTTGTGATGGTTGTGTCACATGACACACAGACGCCACTTTGCATTTGGATAGAATCCACTTTCACACTCAACACATTTTCTGTTGTAATTGGACGAACACATCTTGCAATACTGATCAAACGATTTGCAAGCAACACACACGCGACTCTTAGTTGCTTCAAACACGTAATTGTTGATACAACCAGTGCACTTGCCCGTTGTTTGATCACAGTTTCCATTGCATGTCCTATCACATGAGATGCATTTGTATGTCGACTCGCTTGGATACGTCCCACTTGTTCGACATACACTGCATTTTCTCTGATATGTTGAGTCACACGTCAGACAATTTGAATCAAAAGATGAACACGAATCACACACCAAACCATTTGCTGTTGAAAAGACGTAATTTGACGAACAACCAGTACACACATCTGTTGAGCCGTTGCATTGTCCTCCACATGTTGGGTCGCAATTTCCACACTTGTAGTTTTCTGATAATTTCGGATATTTACCAATTGAACATAATTCACATTTTCTTGTATAATCTAATACACATTTTGAACAATATGAGTCGAATTCGGAGCATTTCACACAGACTTTAGAAATTGGAAATGTTATTGTGTAATTTACCAAACATTGTGAACAAAATCCAGATGTCGAGTCACATGTATTTGGTTTGCAAGTTGAATCACAAGCAACACAATTTCCATTTAATAAATAAAACCCACTATTTTCTCGACATTTAACACATTTTCTCTCTCCATTTAATGCACACTCAACACAGTTTGCATCGAATGATGAACAATCAACACATTTATTACTTTTTGGTTCACTAAAAACTGTACCAGAAACACAATTTGTGCATATTCCATTTGTTGTGTCGCAACTACCACCACACAAAGAATCGCATGGTTTACACTTTCCAGTGGCGGTATCAGGGTACATATTGGATTTGCATTTGGTGCAATTTCTTGAACTTGTTGAATCACACGTTTCACAGTTTGAGTCAAATGATGTACAACTTAAACATTCTTTCTGTTTTGGTTCATTAAAAACATGGTTATCAATACATTACAAACAAATACCATTTGAGTCACAAGTTGAACATGTTGAATCACATAACGCACAATAACCATTTGACAAATAAGAAATGCCACTTCGACAATTTACACATTTTCTTTCTGTTGTAAAGCAACTAAGACAATTTGGATCAAATATTATACATGGTTGACATTGTTTTGGGTTCGCAGGGTTGGTTGTATATTGATCACTTGTACAAGTAATACAGTCTCCTGTTGTATTTGAACACCCATTCGCACAACTAGAGTGACAGTCAATACAAGAAAACGGTGATGATGGACTTGGATATTTTCCAGTTACACATTTTGTGCATTTTCTGGTGGTTTGTGAACAAGCTGTCCAATAAGGATCGTATAAGTTACACAACTGACATTCTCTACTTTCGTACATCTTTTTTGTGTATATTGCTTTGCATGTCTCACACATTCCAGTATTTTTGTTGCACTTGTTATACTCACATGTTGTATCACACTTGGAACAAGAGTAAAACTGATCCAAATAATAATTGTATTTACAAGTTGTGCATTTTCTGCGTTGATTTTTCCCACAAACATCACAACCCGGGTCAAACGAAGAACACGCCTGACATGATGCTTTATTTATTATATGTGGAACATAATTGTCAATACACCAGTTACAAATTCCATCTGTGTCACACGTTTCACACGTTGTGTCACAAGGTGAGCACAATCCACTTGAGTTGAGGTATGAAATACCACCCACACAAGTTAAACATTTTTGTTCAGTTTGGCTGCAAGTAACACAATTTGTGATTGCATTACATTGGCTACATCCAAAATTCCATGGAAAGTATCCAGTTTTACATTCAGTGCATCCCAAAGTCGTGTGACACCCAGAGGTCTCACAATTTGCATTACAAGTTAGACAAGTCGAATTCGAAAAGTAAGTTCCAGACTTACAAGATAAACAATTTGAAGGAGAACCCAAGCATGTGAGACAAATTGAGTCGCAAGTTTGACAAATCCCATTTTTGGAACAAAACCCATCAATACACAAATCACACTTTGTTGTGTTAGATATGCAATGCCCAGGGGTACAATTTTCACAATAAATACACTCATTGTTCCACAATTATCTTGAACCTGGTACACATGAAGTACATATGGTTGAATTGTATTTGCATGTTTGACAAAGTGAAGAACATTGAAAGCACGTGTAAGATATATAATAATACCCATCAACACACGAATTACACTGATCTGATGTGGGTCCAAAGCATTGTGTGCATAAATCAGAACATTTGAAACAATCGTTTTTATCCAAATAATACCCTTTAAAACATGCATAACATTCATTAAAACTATTTCCAGACGCACATTAGTCATTTCCAAACTTAACACACATTCCATTATTCGAAAAGTAATACCCACTTTCACATTCATAGCAATTATTATAGCCACCACAGTTATTACAATGTATATGGCATGGTAGACAAGTATGATTATATTCTCCAATTTCATTATCCATATATTTACCATTAACACACTCAATACAGTTTGTGCTTTCGGCGCCATTACATTCATTGCAATCAGAATGACATTTGTAGCATACATCATTTAATAAGTAATAATTTGAGTTACATATTACACATTTTGTAGTTGAACAAGTTTCACAATTTGGAGGACACTGAACACACAACCCATCTTTTAAATAATATCCATTAAGACAAGAATCACAGTTGTGTATATATGTACCACTGCATCGACCACAATTTAATTCACAAGGAAGACAATATCCATTTGTATAATAAAAACCATTTTTACAACTCAAGCAATTGTTTTCAAAAGTACCATTACAAGTATAACAATTTGGACTGCATTGAATACAATACCCATTTGAGTAATAATAAGAAATCATGCATGTTGAGCAATTTCCTAATCCTCCAAATTTACAGGTTTTACACAAGTAATCGCATTTTAAACAATACCCATTTAAAAGATAATGATAATAATGACATGATAAACAATCGTTTTTATTCGGTCCATTACAAGTACTGCAAAATGAATCGCATTTAATACAATTGCCGGAAATTAAATTATAATATTCAAAACATGAAATACAATTGTTTAAATTTATACCATTGCATTCCAAACATGATGGATCACATTTTACACAATACCCATTCGAAAAACCATATGAAAAAAGGCACGATAAACAATTGTTCGGTCCTGAGTCATTACAAGTATTACATGATGAATCACATTCAAGACATTGACCATTTAATAAATAATAAAATTTTGAACATGATAAACAATTATTTGGCGTTGCACCATTACATGTAACACATGATGAATCACACTTTAAACAATACCCATTTGTTAAATAATAAGAAAATCGGCATAATATACAATTGTTTGGTTCTGTACCATTACATGTAACACATGAAGAATCACATTTTAGACATGTGTTTCCTGACAAATAATAAGAGTTTTGACACGATAAACAAGTGGTTGAAGATCCTGTATATTTATAACATTCAAAAGAACACTTTACACACGTGTTTGATCCTTGTAAATAATATCCCCATGCACAACTATAACATTCTGTATTTGATCCACCATAACAAGTATTGCACTTATCATTACAAATTGAACAAGTGTTTGAATCAGACATGTAATAGCCATTTTTACATGTGATGCAATCATCGGATGTTCCATTATAACAAGTATCACAAGCATCATTACAAAATTGACATTTAGAGTTCTGAGTTAAATAATATCCGTCTTTACAAGTAAAACACCCATAATTGGTATCATCAAAACAAGTCTTACAAGAGTAATAACACGAATAACACGAATAATCTTCAGATAAATAATACCCTTCATTACACTCCATACAAGAAGTTTCTGCCCAACACCTTTTACAATTGGAACAAGATGTTTTTATAATTTCTTTGTTGTTGATTGAGTTTGTTTTATTGGGTTATAAATGTAATACTGGTATAAACTTGGCTGAGTGTTCAGAATATTTAAAAGTATTATTGGTTGTGTTAAATACAAAATAATAATTGTATTTTGAGTTAATAGTCACTTTAATGTTTGTTTCTTGTTACATTCTAATATAAAACCATCACTTATATTAGGTAACTGAATATGTTTGGTTGATAAACTCCATTGAAAACATTGTTCACATTCTTTATTGAATGGAACACATACAATTTTATCAATAAATTTACACCATTTGACAGTTGAATTTGAAGATAATGTAATTGTTACCATTGATAAAACAATTAATATAACCATTAAGTATTATTTACAGTACAACCTTTTTATAATAGAAAAATGCTTTGTAAAATAACAAAAGTTTGATTAAAAAACACAGCATTTTATAATTGTTTAAATGCTTTTAAATTTAATAATATAAATAATAATTAAAACTATTAAAATTGAAATTAACCATATAGGTTTTAAACTTTATTTATAATTAACGCTTGGTATATTTACAGTTAACATTTTTAAGAGATATTATTTAAGTTTATGAACGTTTTTATTTATTTTTCATTGTTATTTATGAAATATTTACTTTTTTGCACACTTTACCATGAATCTATTTTAACAAATAACAAATGAATGAGAAATTCGTTTTTTAATAAATTGTTTATGAAAAACTTTAAAATATATGACAGAATTTTAAATTGAAATAGTTATTTTTTAATTGTATTTAATCTGATATTTAACCAACAAAAAATGACGAATAATATTTCGTCTTTTTTAAAAAATAATATTTTGTATGAATATAAAATAAATCTGTTAAAAAAATATTAATATAAATAAAACACTTTCCATAAAATACACCAATCAATATTATTAAAAATGTATAATAATTTGTCTTTAATTATTACATGGTAAAATGTATAAATTGAAAATCATGTATATGTTTCAAAAATACAATAATAAATAAAAATAATAACACAATTATCTCTTATGTTTGTAATCAAAAATAACGAAAAATTTCGTCAATTTTGTTAGTATTATATAAATATTTATGTTTTTTAATTTTAATTCGCTTATTTTAATTATGATTCTTATTATTTTGATTAGACATTTATCAAAAAAATATAGTTCATTTATTCAACACTTTATATTGTTTTAATTAATTTTTGACACAAATGCTACTTAAACTTATTTTAAAAATTCTGTTTTTGTGTATATAAAAATTGTTTTATTTAAAGTATAACAATTATTAAAACAATATTTTGAAAATTATATATTTAATATAAACAGTTATCTTAAATAATATGAACACTAAATAGTATTTTAATATATGACAACAAATAACATTTTAAATACATAAAATGTTGTAAAAAGCCAATGACATAAATTGAGTTATTGTCTGTAAAAATCTGCAATATTTAAATGATTTTTATTAAACTAGTTATATCATGTTTAGTGTATCAATACTAAAAATGATATTTAATAGTGTTTTTTTGTATAACCAACTTTATTATTTAATTATATTTTACTTATAGAAACACTCATTTTAATTAGTATTTGTTTATTAAGTTGTATTATTAAAAGAATAAATTTTTAAATTGATTGATAGTTTTTGATGTGATTGTAGTTTTAATAATCTATTTTTATTTGTTTAATCAATTCGTTAATCAAAACAATCATTTTTTTGAATTTTCCTTAATTTGGGACTTAGACGGTTTTTGGACATTCTAGTTTCAAACTCTATATTAAAGTATAATCTACTTATAACTTAACTTGTTGTATATTCGTGACAAATTTAATAAATTATTTCGCTTTGCTTCAATAAAAAAAATTTAATCAAAAACAACTTTAAATATTTATTCAAATTTTAAACAAAATACGCTCATTTTCAACACCAAAACGTCACTAACTGTATCATCAATTAAAATTTAATTTCAAATTTATTACAATCTGATAATAATTAATACCCAGTTCTTTTTTTAAAAAATACAAACTCAATTTTTATACCACAAAAATTAATTCATTTTTATAAATTTTAAATTTAATTTTTTGATTTTATATATTTTATATATTTTATACGCCAAATTTCGATTATAAAATATTTTCCAAATATTTCAGTAAATGTCAATTCTATACCAATTTTTACAACACCACTTAAAGCAGTTTAAGTGTCAATTTACTTATTTTGTGAGACTTCAGTTTGAGTTTCTATACTTTCATTTCCTTCTTTTTGAAACTCAATTTTCTCCATTGAAATCTCATTAGAAGACTTTTCTGTGTTTTCTTTAACATCACTTGCAGTGACTTTATTATCTTTATAATCTTTCATTTCTTTTATTTCTTCTTCTTCCTTTACTTTCGTCGAACTATTTATTTGACTCTTTTTGAATTCGTCAGTCTTCTTTGCCGGCTTTTTCCCCGTCAAATATTTGATTCTGTTGTGAAGTTGTTTTATCTGGCGTTTGCTACGTTCTTCAAAATCTCTTTGTGTGTCCTCGTTAGACAGCATCGCCGTTCTGTTGACACTTTTTAAAAACGCGTTGAAGCCGTACCCATTTGCTTTAGGCACTGTGGATGTCACATCGGCGTATTCTCCCTCCGCCGCCTTTTTCTTTAATGATAACATATATTGTGGGGTATTTAAATTAATTAGTGGTGGATTTAAACCGAACTGTCTGCGTTGTAATGCGGCTATTTGACTAAATGTCATAAGTGTGTTATTACTCCTATTTTTACTCTCATCAACAAAGAAACTTACTATATAGGAGCGGACTTTCCCCCAAAAAGAACTCAAGTAGTCCATTCGGTTGTTTAAAATTATAGTTTTGTTGTAACCTAAATACTAAATCTATTACCATATCTCTTTCTTTTGTTCAATTTGATAACTTTTTTCTTTTTAATTGTTTTATTAATTATTTTACTATTTTTTTTAATTTAATAAAATAGTATTATTATATTATATATTTACTATATAATTATTATATATTTTTATGGAAGTTAGTAAAGCCTTTGTTTGTGTCAATTTAACTTAAATTTTTTGTTTGTTGGTTGAAATTGTAATACTAAAGGATAAAAAACTGCTTTAATTTTTTAACCACTACTTAACGTTTTTATAGTTTTAAATAATAAAATCACATAGAAAAGAATAATACACATTTCCAACCAAGACATAAAAAGTCTTTACATAGCATGTTTATTTTTAATGGTCAAGTATACCAAACATTTTAAATTATTATTATTATTATTATTATTATTATTATTATTATTATTATTATTATTATTATTATTATTATTATTATTATTATTATTATTATTATTATTATTATTATTATTATTATTATTATTATTATTATTATTATTATTATTATTATTATTATTATTATTATTATTATTATTATTATTATTATTATTATTATTATTATTATTATTATTATTATTATTATTATTATTATTTGAATCTGAAAAATAAAATGGAAGCCTTGAAAAAAACTGAAGCTTTTTTTTTTCTTTCTGTAATATAATAAACGATGAACACATTAAAAAATACAAATAATACATCATAAAATACATAATAAAATAGAAATAAAGAATAAGTAACAAGGATAAATTTAATGATTAAAAAAAATAAACAAGTTTTTCATTATTATTTTTTCTTTTTTTAGTTAACACAAACATTAAAAATTTAAAAGTTGTTTAAATTACTTTTCAGCAAAGAAAACAGCACTTCCCTTTTCTTCATATTCTTTTTTCGACACATACTTTGTTGATGAAACGGATCCGACAGCTCTAGCAATACCAAAGTTTGTGTATTTATTTTGATTACTTTCGACATGTATTGAATCATTATTTGGTGAGAGTTTATTAAGTTCATTGTTCAACCTTTTTTCAAATCCTTCAAATAATACGTTTCCACCAGTACAATACACGTTTTTAAGAAGTTCTCTTTTTTGGTTTTCGGGGAATTTATTGACGGTGTTTGTAATTATAGTTTGCAGAGAGTCTATATTTCTATTGAAATCGAAGTCTTGTGGATTAAATATCATTTCAGGTACTTCATACCTGTCTGTACCAAACTCGATCTTAGTTCCATCATCCAATGTGTATTCCTCTTTTATTTCTCCCTCATTTCTTGTTCTTTCTTTTTCAATGTCTTCTGCTACATAACAAAATCTTTGTTTAAATTTATCTACCGTATAATAGTATTCAATTGGATAATAAGATTTAAAACAATCTTAGTGGCGCCTTAACCTATTTTAAGCTCCATTGTAACGTAAAGTCCACCGAAATTAATCAAAGAACTTTGCTTATAAAAGACAGTATGCCTAGGATCATCAATATCATCATTATAAGGCAATACTCTGAGCATTGAATCGCCAAAATTCACAATAACGCCTGCACTCATTGAAAAGTTCATTACATCAAAACGAACAGGATGTTTAATTTGATGAATAGATCTGAAACGTTCATATTTTCAAAAGCAACTTCAGACATTACAGTTCTAATATTGTCCGAATCAAACTTATCTTCGGTAAGAATCATTTTATGACCTGATGGATCAACTTTGAGTTCTTCTTTTGGAATTGTAGTCAATGTTTTTTCTAATGCATATTTATTATCAAGTTTCCCATTGCAATATATTTCTGTTATTTCCATTTCGTCTATGTGATTTAAAGCTTCAAAACCAACAATCTTAATTTTATCTTCTTCTCCAAAATTACATGCAACAATACTATATGTTTCAACTTCTGGTTCGTCATTTTCTGTGGTTGATAGCCCAGCTCTGATTATGTACGACCCAATATCAACAATTATTGTTGGAATTATTACTTCATCGTTAAAATCTGACATTGTTTTTGATGTGATGAAAAAAGTTTTTATAGTACAAAACACTACACATTGTGTAATTATATATATAAATTTAACTTGTTGATATCGTATATTTATAAAAAGTTTGATATATAACAACATAATAAATGAGTAATATGCGTTTTAATCGTTTGTTTAATATATATAAAAGGTGTAATGAATATTTTGTTATAATCAACAATTATAACTTAATTAACATTTAATTGTTTATGAATATAAAAAGTGTAGTTTTTATTTTATCATATAAATTATTATATAATTCAATAATAAACTTAAAAACAGTGACTTTATAAATACCAATTAAATATGAAAGATTAAGGTGATTTTAAAGATTCATCAAGATAATTGGACCGATAATATTTATTTTGATTCATAAACACATATAAAATAAATAAGAACTGATAACAAAAATATTATAAATGTGTAAAATAAATAAATATAAATAAAGAAGATACGTTCTAATTTAACATACATCGCGAAAAGTATCCAGAAGTCGAGTCACATGTATTTGGTTTACAAGTCGAATCACATGCAACACATATTCCATTGAGTAAAATAAATCCGCTGTTTTCTCGACATCTAACAATTTTTTTTCCTATCTAATGCACATTCAAAACAGTTTGCATCAAATAATAAACATTCGACACATGTGATTCTGTTGTATAATTGATAAAACTGTACCAGAAACACAATTTGTACACATTCCATTTGTTGTGTCGCAACTACCACCACACAAAAAAATCAAATGTTTGAAATTTTTATATGGATGTATCAGTATACATATTTGATATACATTTTGCGCAATTTTTTTTGTCTTGAATAATCACACTTTTCAACAATTGGGTCAAACGAAGAACACGCCTGACATGATGCTTTATTTATTATATGTGGAACATAATTGTCAATACACCAGTTACAAATTCCATCTGTGTCACACGTTTCACACGTTGTGTCACAAGGTGAGCACAATCCACTTGAGTTGAGGTATGAAATACCACCCACACAAGTTAAACATTTTTGTTCAGTTTGGCTGCAAGTAACACAATTTGTGATTGCATTACATTGGCTACATCCAAAATTCCATGGAAAGTATCCAGTTTTACATTCAGTGCATCCCAAAGTCGTGTGACACCCAGAGGTCTCACAATTTGCATTACAAGTTAGACAAGTCGAATTCGAAAAGTAAGTTCCAGACTTACAAGATAAACAATTTGAAGGAGAACCCAAGCATGTGAGACAAATTGAGTCGCAAGTTTGACAAATCCCATTTTTGGAACAAAACCCATCAATACACAAATCACACTTTGTTGTGTTAGATATGCAATGCCCAGGGGTACAATTTTCACAATAAATACACTCATTGTTCCACAATTATCTTGAACCTGGTACACATGAAGTACATATGGTTGAATTGTATTTGCATGTTTGACAAAGTGAAGAACATTGAAAGCACGTGTAAGATATATAATAATACCCATCAACACACGAATTACACTGATCTGATGTGGGTCCAAAGCATTGTGTGCATAAATCAGAACATTTGAAACAATCGTTTTTATCCAAATAATACCCTTTAAAACATGCATAACATTCATTAAAACTATTTCCAGACGCACATTAGTCATTTCCAAACTTAACACACATTCCATTATTCGAAAAGTAATACCCACTTTCACATTCATAACAAGTATTGTAATTTTCACAGTACTTGCAATTCGGTTGGCAAGGTAAACATGTGTGATTATATTCCCCGTGATTATAATTAAGATATTTTCCGTTTGAACACCCAGTACAATTTGTTATTTAATTACAATTTTCAATAACATAATTCAAAAAAAAATTTAAAAAAACAAATATTAACTTTGCTTTCAGTCATATTATTAGTGAAATGATTATTAAACAATCAAAAACTATCTTTGGTTTTTTTTTCCTTATTTTAATACAGTTTGTCTTCAAACGTTATCTGGTACTTTTCAAACATAAAGAATGGTATATTTCAGGAAGCCATCACAAAAAATAATTTATTATTTCAAGTTTTTTTTCACATTTTACCTAATGCCCGATGCTTAGACAAAATTAAAGCTATTTTATGTTAACCAGATAACGTTTGAGACTAGATAACGTAAAAAGACTTACTCTAGAAAAAAAATCTGTACATATGAAATTAAGCAATTTTTGGTTTAAAAACTTATTTAAAAATACTTCTGTTGGAAAATAAAAATCATTTTATAACAGTTAAATATTATTAATTTCATTTTTGATTGGGAATAAAATCATTTTGAATGAAGTAATGATGGTTTTGAATGAAATTTACACAAAATATAATAAAAAAATAAACTCCATAAACATACAATGGAAAAAAAGTTGTCAGCACTCTCAGAACTCTGCACAAAAGCAGCAAAGGCGGTGTCAGACCTCCAAAATTTAGTAAGGAAAACAACTTTGTTGACGATAAGTCACTTGATATTACACAACGCATTGAAAATGCAAACGGACATATTGACAGACTCAATGATGTATTCGAAAGTAAGAAGAACATATCAGCATTACTCAACACAATCGTCACCGATTTGAATGATGCATCCAACGACATCAAAAGTGAAATATGTTTGTATTCAACAGAAAGCGACAATGACAAGTTGTATGAGATATTCAATATCAAAATTTCACTTCTTGAGGAAAAGTGCCAAATTGACACTAAACCACTTGAAGATACAGACCAAATTAACAAAATTGTACAAGTTAAGAACGAATCTATTGATCAAATAATAAAATCAGAAAAATACATTATTTCAAACAGACGACACGAAGAAGAAGAAAGTCTTGAGAAGTTGACGGGAATGAAAATTGGGAGTGTTGTGTTTCACTCAGATAAGGACAACTGGTCAAAAGACACCTCAGTGTTTGACCAAAAAGTTATTAACAAAAGTAATTTGTGCTTTTTAATAGAAGACACAAATCACAACAAGTTTGGTGGTGTGTTCACTGGATATATTAATGATGTTTTCGACGATCTTGACGGTGGCAATTCTTACATTTTTTCATTGGTGAGAAATGGCATTCTGAATCCAAAAAAGTTTGGTAAGAGTGGAAGTAACACCGTTTGTGAATTTTATCTTAATTCTCGAGACCATTTAGGTCTATTTTCATTTGGTTATGGTTGTGATATATGTGTGACCAAGAAAGGTGTTGATGGGAGTTATTGCAGCCCACGCGTTTACACCGCCAAAGATAATGAGTTGACTGATAATTACAATTTCACACCAAAGAGCATTGTTGTCTTCCAATTTAACTGACCTTTTTGTCATTTTTTTATTTTGTTATGTTTCAATTATTTGCAACAAGTTGACCAATTAAAATGTATTTTTGGATTTTTTGTTTGTTATAATTAATTATTATTTCAAATGAAATATCAAAATTATTATTTGTTTTTATTTGTCGAACACATTTTTTTTTAAATTGTACTTTTGGGACAAAAATATAACTCAAAACTATCTTGAATTTTTCAGTCTTAAATAAAAAACTTTTATTCTAAAAAACAATTTTTTTTCCGTTTTATATTATTAAACTTTTTTTTCAAAAAAGTACTTTTGTTTAAAATATTTTTTTATTAATAAATGATTTGCATAAAAATCCCAAATATTTTGCAAAAATGAAAAAAAATTACAATTCCGAATTGTGTTTTCCAGTTTATATATCTTATTTTTGAAAAATTATTATATTCACAAATTATTTCTGAAATGTTTTTCTAATAATAAAACAAAAAATGTTGTTACATATATTTAATAAGCGGGATAAATTTATATAAAAATAATAATTTTATTTATTTATTCTGATATGTTCTTTTTCAATATTTAAAACTTAACAAATGAAAAATCGTATTAATTTTAATTGTGTTATGTTTGTATAGTTTACATGAGATATCCAACAAATTTTTACTATTTATATTGTTTAATATTCATTTAACATTTCATATTGTTATTTTTGTATAATATTATTTTTAAACAAAAGAAATTGATTGAAATTCTTTGTTTAGAATTTTAGAATAAGAATGCCATAACAACTAAAGCCATAATTGCGAAAACGGCATTAGCTCCATTGCATTTTCCTCCCTCCAACTTGTATTCAGCCATACATGCAGTGCATGTATTTAACTTTTCACAAGTTGCGCAACCTTCAACGGTACATTTAATGCATTTATTATTTGTTTCATCTGTCATATAGCCTTCTGGACACTTATCAACACATTTCGAAGTGTCAGCCACAAGATAGAAATTGGTCTTGCATTGAGTGCCCTTGTCGTCTTTATCAAAAACATCACAATTCTCAGTTTGACAAGCGTCACACTTTTTAATTGGAGTCTCAACTGGTTTACCAGTGGTGCATTTATCAACACACGAAAGTTTGTTGGTAGAAATGTATTTGGTTCCACAATTGGTGCATTGTTCAGCGTTTCCAACTGTTTGACAAGTTTCACACCCATTAATAGTGCATTTTTCACACATCATTTTATCTTTATCAGCTTTACCAGTTTTGCAAGTTTTTGAACATGTTCCATCAAGATTGATGTAATCAGTTGTTGCAGTGCATTTAATGCATTTTACTGTTTTACTTTCAACAAATTTAATACATGTAGCACATCCACTTCCACATGCGTATTCTGGTGTATCACAAGTTCCATCTGTTTTAATTTTTCCAGTTGCACAATCAACACATTTGTTACCATTAATGTATTTCAAGTTGGTGTTAGTATCACATTTAGTACATGTTTTACCATTTAGATAATAACCAGTTCTACATTCAGTACAAGTGTTAGCCCCACTACATTCTGTGCAGCCAGGTGCACATCTCGTGCAAGAATTATTGTCCCAATGATAACCATATTTGCATAAAAGACATGTTGTTTGATCTTGTTTGCATTCCAAACATCCTATTTCATAGGGACTACACTCCACTTGTTCTAAGCATTTACCTTCTTCAAGATAATAACCATTATAACAATCAGTACAAGTAGTAGCATCACTACATGCTCTACAGTCAGGTGCACATTTTATGCAAGAATAATTGTCCAAATAATAACCAGATATGCATGAAAGACACGTTTGATAATCTTGTTTGCATTTCAAACATCCCAATTGAAAAATATCACATAGCACTTCTCTCATGCATTTGTTATTTTCCAAATATAAACCAGTTTTGCATTCAGAACAAATAGCATCATTACATTCTGTACAGCCAGGTGTACATTTTGTGCAAGTACCTCTGTCCCAATGATAACCAGGTGTGCATGAAACACACGTGGTTTGATCTTGTTTGCATTTCAAACATCCTATTTCAAAAGCACTACACTCCGCTTCTATTATGCATGTATTATTTTCCAAATAATAACCAGTATTACATTTATAACAAATAGCATCTTTACATTTTGTACAATCAGGTATACATTTTGTGCAAGTACTACCGTTTAAATAATAACCAGGTGTGCATGAAAGACATGATGTTTGATCTTGTTTGCATTTTAAACATCCTATTTCATAAGCACTACACTCCGCTTCTTTTAAGCATAAATTATTTTCCATATAATAACCAGTTCTACATTCAGAACAAGTGTTAGCCCCACTACATTCTGTGCAGCCAGGTGCACATCTCGTGCAAGAATTATTGTCCAAATAATAACCATATGTGCATAAAAGACATGATGTTTGATCTTGTTTGCATTCCAAACATCCTATTTCATAAGGACTACACTCCACTTGTATTAAGCATTTACCTTCTTCAAGATAATAAGAAGAATCACATTCAGTACAAGTAGTAGCATCACTACATTCTCTACAGTCAGGTGCACATTTTATGCAAGAATTATTGTTTAAATAATAACCAGATATACATGAAAGACATGTTGTATAATCTTGTTTGCATTTCAAACATCCTTTTTGAAAAATATCACAATACACTTCTCTCATGCATTTGTTATTTTCCAAATATAAACCAGTTTTACATTCAGAACAGGTGTTAGCATCACTACATTCTGTACAGCCAGGCGTACATTTATTACATTTACCTATACTTTCATAATAGCCATTACTACATGCGTCACATGTCGTAGCATTCCTGCAAGTTAAACAGTTATCTATACACTTTGAACATTTATCATCTTTAACATAATACCCTCCTTCACATATTTCACATCCATATGGATTATCAGTTCTGCATGATAAGCAATTCTCTATAGGTATGGGACATTCATTTAAAGTTACAGAAAAAGCAGTGAATATCATAAATGATAAGAAGATTAGAGTTCTCATTGAATGATAACTAAGTTTATAAAAACGTTTATATACTTAAATTGGTTTATTTTTATTAAATTATTTTAAAACAAATTGTCTTTTCAATTGTTTTAAATGTTTGGTTTGCCGTCTTTTTGTTTTATTTTATTATTAATAGCATTATATCACCGTGATAAAACAATATTGAAATTATTGTAAACATAAACAAGCATAAGTTTTAATTGTTTTACAAATTATAATAAAAATTACAATATTACATTTATTAATATTATTTTAATTTTACAAAGCAATTATAAAATGAAGAAATATTTTTTAATATCAACATATAGTTATATTATTTTAAACTACATAATTAATAAAAAAAACTGCACAAGATTAAATAAAAAGATATATTATTAAATTGACATTCAGTAATAACCATATTTTTAACAACAATAATCAATAAAAAATATTTTGAACCTGTTTTGTTTTTTGAGTCTTCTTCAACTTATCCATCATTTAAATTTATTTACGTAAAATACATATAAATGTATAAATTGACAACATATACAATGTTTTAAACATTGTCTGTTTTTTCTATTTATAAACTCGCTTTTTTTACATTTTTAATTTTTTTTATCATAAAATAAAAACTTTATTTTTTTAAATTTTTTAAGATTACTTTCAGAATTTGTTATTACAATTTTACTTTATTATAAAATTATAGTACATATTTAACAAAAAATAATAAAAAGTTTGTTAAAAAATACGTTTGGAAAAAAAGTCACACCCGTTTCAATTTTATTTTTTAGATTTTTTTACCTCTTTTTTGGATTAAAAAACAAAAACAAAGTTTTAATTTTCTTTTTTCTAACAGTTGTTTTGAATCTAGTGAAAAAAAATACATTTTTGATTTATTTTCAATCCTCATTTTGTTTTTAGAGTCAATGCTACAACGTTGTTCACTACTCAAACGTTGTTCACTCGGTGTTATATTTTTAGAACCAAAGAAGTTCTCTCAATAAACAAAAATATAGGCAAAAAACAATAATATTTACCATTTAAAACTCATTTTTTTAGCAATTCCCGCTTTACAACAATTTCAAAGAGTAAAAAATAATTTGTTCAGAGCTGCTTCAAACTAAAAAACTTCAAACCTATTAATCCCAAATTTTTGGTAATTGTTTAACTCTATTATTTATCTTCCTTTAATTTACAAAAACAAAACATTTGTTCAGAAAAGATAAAAAACAAAATACTAGATGAGTAAACAAAATCTAATAATAACACTTTTCAACACAAGCATGACATAATTTTTATTCTGAATAATTTATAAGCTTTTTAAACAACAAAAAGAGCCAAGATATGGCGTAAAGTATAATAAATATTATATTTGAACTTATCAGAGATTCTGGTGATGTTCAATTTAATATAATCAACTCAACAAAAATATAACGAATTAATTCAGAGCTTTCTCGTAATCAAACATTACAAGAAAGGTTTCATTAACATTTTTTTGTCTAGTTGTAAGCATTAAACAAACGATAAATTGAGTTGATTTTTTTTTCAAAAACATAACAACAGAAAAAAACACAAACACATTAATTAAATTAAATTATAATTCAAAGGTTTAGTCTTTATAATGATTACTAGTGTCAAACGCTTTTAAAAAGCACTTGGCTCTTGTAATTCCATATTTAAATATCGTTGCCAAAAGTCATTTTTAAGTTGTGTTATAAAGCTCACCATCTTTAAAACTTTTTTGAAAAATATTTTAACTTGGTCTTTTAAAAAAAATTCACAAAGCCAAAAAATTAAAGTTTTAAATTAATCAATTAAAGTTTTTATTTATAAGTATTTTATAGTTAAAATATAGTTTCTAATAGATTTTTGAACCTTTAACAGTTTATTATAAAAAATATAACGGAAACAAATATTTAAAAAATGAATAAAATTTGAGTAAAATGTATTGGAGTTGAATTAAAATCCGATAAAATACTTTTAAAAAATTACTTGAATGATAAATAAAATTATTATAACATTCTATACAAAACTATCAATTATTCTATAAAAACCCTTGAAATAATACAGAGTTATCATTAGGAAAAAAGAGTGAATAACAGAGCCAACATAACACTTAAAGTTTAACCTTGATTTTAGAGAACTTAAACATTATCTTTGAACTAAAAAAACATAAGATGTTTGTTCTTTGTATTAAATTGAATTGGAAATATAAATTAACAAACTAGAGGCGGCTCTGTGCCGCACGACCCGACGGAACTCCCTCTACATCTCCAACAAAACAAGCCTGAAACTAGCCAACTCTCGCGGATTGAATGGTCTCAACTCGAAATCATCATCATTTTGGCATGGTTTCCGGGTGTTTGTTGAATACGACAAGAAGAGTGAAGATCTTGAAATTAAATGATTTAGTTGGTTTTATGTTTTTTTTGATTTTGAAAAAAAATAATACGAAAAAGAAAATGTTATTGGTATGTTTATTGGTGTTTTATTTTAAGATTTATATGTTTTGTATAAGATTTGGCTGTTATTTAAAATATTCTGAGGTGTACAACGTTGTAGCACTGATCCTATTCATTTTTCCCTTTATTTCGATTCTTTATATTTGTTGTATATGACTAAATTAAAAATTCTATCGGTGTGTGGAGTCATGTTTTTTTATGAGAAAAAAAAACAAAAAAATAATGTAATTTAAAACACGATATTCAATTAATTCTTTGAAATCCAGAAAAATAGGAAACAAAACATACTTATATAAATGTTTATGATGTTTTCATTAATAATAATGTGTTTCAAAAAACTGATATTTGAACTTTAATTCGAATTTGACAGTTCTAGTTTGATGTCATGTTTTTAACAATATAAAAGTTTGCTGATTTTATATATTTGTGATTTTATAAATAATCTCAACAGTTGGGTAAGCAAACATAAGTCTGTCAAATGAACCTTAGCCCCATATTAACTAAATAAAAGCTATTATTTTCAAAAACAATAATAAATTATTTTGGAATATTATATATATTTTTAAAACAACAACGAGTCCAAAATCCAAAAATAACATACAGTAAAGAAAATGAACCTTAGCCTATGAAATGAACTTTAGCCCAAAGAAATTCTTTTATTTTTCTTTAAAAACACGGGTTTTTACTAAAAAAACAAATATTTTAGATAATTTTTTATTTGGGTATAGTTTATTATTTTAATATAACAATAGAAAATAATTAGTTTTTCTTTGGGCTAAGGTTAATTTCCTGGGCTAAGGTTTAATGGCCCAACTGTAACTATAAATTTTAATGCAAAGAGAAAAACCGGACACTAACTTTGACACTATTAAAAAACGTGAAAGAAAACCAAGTCGTAAAACCGTTTACAGCACCTCAAATCAAGTCAAAAAGAAAACCATCAATTTCAAACATTAAGATGTTGAAAAACATAAAACGACTTTTTGAACAAAATCTTATCACTAAGGAAACAAAAGAAGTAGCAACTAAATTGGCCAACGATTTGATAATTTAACATAATTTGTACAAGTTTAAAACTACAATCGAGCAACTAAAATATTTGAAAATACAGACTAAACAATGTATTACAATGCTAAATGCTCTTTTTTGAATTAGAAGAAGGAGCAGTGTCAATTCATCTTAAACAACCAAATGTTGAACCAAAACATTTTGCAAAAATCAACGATGAAATGGATATTTCAAATTTAGCATTGTTTAATTATTGCGAATAAAAAAATTTGAGTGTAACACCAACTCTTGTTGATGCAGTTTGCCAGAATATTGATGGTATGTTCGAAATGACAAGAAAAGGAATTATTACACAAATTCAAAAAATTTACGGTTACTTTACCAGCTTAGCCAAAACAAAAGAACGGCACTGTTCGTTTCGAGAGCTTCCCAACCTGAGTCAACAAGTCTCTTTGAGAATCAAACAATGCGTTTATCTGTTCATTATCTGTGTTTCCAAGGCACATGTCTACTGCTAACATGAAGTTCTGTCTGTTAGAAGCAAAGAGTTGTTCTTCTATAACAACTCTGTGTATCTGAGATTCAGTGATTTGTAAGAAGCTTTGAATCGATCTAAAGTCCTTGAGTAACTCCTCCTTGTTTTCATACATCTCTTCATCAAATTGTTGTGTTTTCAAGACATTGTGTTTCTCGAAAAACTTTACAGACTGCATAATGACGTCTACGGTACCAATCAAGTCACTTTGTTTATTCACAAACTCGTCATTTTGTTTTTCACATTTGTCTTAACCAACACGTTGCCCACTTCCACGTCAAAACCAACCAATATGTCAAACAATAAATCCACAACGGGATAAGTCAATTCAAGTTGTTTGAGTATCACACACAATTGTCTTTCTGTTTGTTTCTTATCAACAAATGCTTTGATGAGTGTCATTGACATTATGAACATTTTAATAAGCTGGATGTAGTATTTTTTTAAACACATAAATATAAATGATGTGAAACATCTGTAACGCGTCATTTTTCCAATCGTCCTTCTTTCGTGTCTTCAGGTCACTTAAAAATGCTTTGAAACTCTGCGTTTCCTCTTCCAAATGTGCATACACTTCGTTGTACCCAACAAACTCAAATGAATTCGACCCAAAGTGCATTAAAACTTCTTTCTCCTCCACAAGGAGTTGGTCGTGTGTCATCGCAAGTTCATCCAAGTTCTTAACAATGTGGATATTGATCACTTTCTTTAATATTGCACACCCTTTCTTTGTCAAATTGGCGTTTTGTGCTTGCCATATATTTCGTACAATATAAATCTGTGCAAATGCTCGTTGTGTGGAAATAGTGTCGTTGTTTAATGGGTTTTTCGAGATGCTTTCTGATATAATATTAAATGGTTCCTTCCCACACAATGAAATCTTCTCCGCGGTCTGTAACAGAAACGCAAAGGTGTCCGCATCGTATTTAATTTCTCTGTTTTTCCGTGAAATCGCTTTTGAGAGTATTTTAATGACTTGGTCCGTCTGATCCTTCTGCACAAACGAAATTCCAGCAATTTCAGTCAGCGCACAATAAACAGTTTGAAGCTTTTTCCTTACTTGAACCTCAAAGTCTTCACCGTCTAAGGACGCAAACAACTCTTTGATGAACGTACTCAGTGACTCACACTTCTTACAAAGGATCTTTGATATAGAATGGCTCATATAGTCAAACAGCTGTATTTCCATCAGCAAATAATTAAAATTTGTGCAGTAGATTTCAAGAGATTGTTTGACCTTTTTGATTGTCTCGGGAAACAAGAAGAAGAGGTTCAGAGACTGTAACAGAACGTCACATGAGTGGTGGAAATTGACGCACTCTTCTGTAAAAGTCTTTACCGATGGCACATAAGTCTCTATTTTCTCTTTAATCGACTTTTTAAGACCATCAAGAAGTTGCTGTGTAAAATTCTCTTCCTGTGTATTGGCACAACGCCATCCAATGTCTTGTTCCAAATCAAACTCATTGACTTTTTCTGTGAGAAATTGGAATGTCTCTGGACTTTTCTTTAGTGGTAGATATGATAGAATGTCATAGATACTCCTCAAGTGTTGTTAGTGTTCGACCTTCTGTTTGTCGACTGCGTTCTTTTTGAATTCTCTGATATTTTTGATGTCGTAGACTTTCTGTTCGATGTCCGTGGAACAGAAAATCTTCTCAATTTGTTGTGTGACGACATCGAGTAAACTCTTTGATTGTGAGTCGACAAAATCACAACAAAACTTTTTGAATTGTATGACAAAGTCGATCACCGCGTTGTGATAATACTGGAATTTCCACTCTGTCGACTTCCTCAGTTCTTTCCATCCTTTCATTTCTTGCCGCATTTCAATTTCGTCCAAAATAACAACTTTGAATATTTCGCAGACGTTCAGCATCTTCGTATTGATGAGTTCCAATTTACACACAAAATTGGTTGGCGTGTTTTCAAAGTCTCGAAGAAAAATTAAATCAGACACCACCTTCTCACAGATGTTACCAATTAGTTTGTTGTGTATTGGAATTAATATTGCAAGGACGTCATCAAGTCGTAAAATGACTCTGTTAATTTGCATGAGAATTTGTGATGTTAAATCAACAGTCTTTTCTTTATCATTCTCCACACCATCCATTACACTTAGTGCCACTTCTTCAGCCTTTTTATCATTGTTGTTACTTTCATTTGCTTTTGTTGTTGCGTTCTTAAGAACGTTTACAAACTCGGAACACGCTTCGACCAATGATGTCACATGTTTTGAGAGTAACGTGTTCCCACTGGACGAAAAGCATATCCTGTCTGGTCGAAACAAAGAGCACATTGTTTGCATTCACCGCTTGTTGTAAACTACATTGCAATTCTAACACCATTTTTTTTCTGCAGCGAGTGGTCGTAATCCACCAGTCTTCTTCGATACGACATTCTCTAAGATCACAACAAGTTTATGGAAAAACAGCATTTTCGAAATGTAATAATCGTCAATAAATATATATAAAATTCAAAATCATTTTATTAAGTTTTATTTTTAAATATTATGCATTTTATTTATCAAATAAATTAATTTATAATTACAACACAAATAGTTTAAGTGATTCTTTATGTTTCTTGATTTTTTTGTATTTAAATGGTCTACAATAAAATGGGATTCAACACAAGAAGCCACATCATTTGTTATTTTTGCATCAATATCTGATGATAGTATTATATTTTTGGATTTTTATATAGGTTATTGATTCAAATTATTTTTAAAAATAATTCAGAAGATTTGTCGACAAATGTCACCAGAATTTCGACAAATGAAATGTTCGACAAATGTCAAGATACCGTTACATATATCAAATAAGGGGAATAAATTTATATAAAAATAATATTTTTTTTATTCATTTTGATATGTTCTTATTTTACCAATTTAAAACTTAACAAACGAAAAATCGTATCAACTTAAATTATGTTGTGTTTTTATAGTTTACATCAGATATCCAACAAATTATAATATAAGTTACATTATTAAATAATCATTAAAATAATATATTATTATTTTTATATTATAAACTGTTTCCCAAAAGTCGATAGTACCCCCAAAATATTTTGGTCTATTTTTATCATAATGTTTTGAGAAAACTACGTAATCTATTTATATTTCAATATCAACTTTTTTCAAAAATTAAAACCATTAATTGTTGAAAATCTTAATTAAAAACACGTAAAAATAAGATACAATTAATGTAATAATACCTTTTTTTCGAGCAACTTTTTTAAAGAAGATGGCCAATGAATTTACCTTTTTCTTGGATAACAAGAGAAAATATTTTTTCCATCGATTTCATTAAATTGTTAATTGCATCTATTGGTATTAATTCCCATTCTTTCTTCAGCACTCTAAACAAACTCTTTGTGTTTTTTAAATATTTTTTTCTTTTTTCTAATTCTATTTTCAAGTATCGACCAAACGTTTTCAATTGGTGATAAATCCTGACTTGAAGGAGGCCACCCAGTCAATCTCACTTTATTGTTCTCTAAAAAAACAATGTCGTTTTACCTATGTGTGGCTTAACACCATCTTGTTGGAAATAGACTATTTGTTTGTTGCGTTCTCGTCTAATATCATCAAACACTTTATTACTTTCAAGCATGTGTTGATAACCAATTGCATTAAGTCTGTTGTCACATAGTAACAACTGTGATTTGTAATTATTTCCGATTGCTCCCCAAACCATCAATGAATCGTTGTGTTTTGGAAGTGTTAAAAACATTGATTTAAACATCTTATTGTTCTTTTTAATAAGTAAAGTTTGATTTCCAATATTAAATGAATTTATTCTGTTATATCTCATTTTCCTGCTTTTGTGATACCAACAGTTTCCATTATCTGAAAACAATCCAAATCTCGACTCATCACTTATAATAGCCTCTTTCTATTTTTATAATTTTTCTTTAGTACCGCCTTTTTGCAAAAATTTAATCTTTTATTAATGTTAACTTTTGTTAAAAATGGAGATTTCTTTAGTTTGCCATATTTAAACCCGTTTATTTTTCCGTATCTTTGAATTGTTGATTTTGATACATTTATACATTTAGCCAAATCACAACACGTTGATTCTGGATTAATAGAATTTTTTTTGATCAAAGTTATTATTTTTGTTGTGTCATAATTGAAGGTCTGCCTATAGTTTTTGAAATTAACTCTTCATTGTTTTCAATTTTCTTTTTGTTATAAGAAACTCTGTTTGGTGATACATGAAGTGTTTTGGTAATAAAAGAAAATGATTTCCCTTCTCTTAATAAATTAACAATGAGCTTATATGTTTTATTGATAACAGACATGTAATCTTTTTAAAGATTATAAGTTTAAATATTGCAATTAATTAATATTAATTTGTTTTCAATGTGATTTTTGTTGAAATTAAAAAAATAAGTTTTACAAAATTCAATATTGTTTATTTATGTAAATGTTTTTTATCCTATTAAAATAGTTTGTTTTTGACAATTTTTTAATTGAATTGTTTCAAATCTAAAATAACATGAATTGGGTTTTAATGAAATACAATTATGATATTTTTTATATTTGAAACAACTCAAGATTATTTCTTTTGTAAATTTGAGCAACTTTTGTTTGAAAAAAGGTGTATTTTTATTTTTTATGTGTAAATTTAAGCCACTTTTTCCTCAAATTTTTGTTAGATCCAAAAAGAGGATAAAAGTATAGTAAGATAAAACCCGACATATTACCAAAAAATAAAATAAATACACTATCAATTTTTGAATTCTAGTTTATTATTTTAAACAAACAAAAATGATTAAAATTCTTTGTTTAGAATTTTAGAATAAGAAAGCCATAACGAATATAGCCATTATCGCAAAAACTGTATTAGCTCCATTGCATTTTCCTCCCTCCAACTTGTATTCAGCCATACATGCAGTGCATATATCTACCTTTTCACAAGTTGCGCAACCTTCAACGGCGCATTTAATGCATTTTTTGGCAATTTTATCTGTCATATATCCTTCTGGACATTTCTCAACACATTTCGAAGTGTCAGCCACAAGATAGAAATTGGTATTGCATTGAGTGCACTTGTCGTCTTTGTCACAAACATCGCAATTCTCAGTGGCACACTTTTCACACTTTTTAATTGGAGTTTCAACTGGTTTACCAATGGTACATTTATCAACACACGAAATTTTGTTGGTAGAAATGTATTTGGTTCCACAATTGGTGCATTGTTCAGCGTTTCCAACCATGCCACAAACTTCACACCCATTAATAGTGCATTCTTCGCAAGTCATTGAATTTTTATTTACTTTACCAGTTTTGCAAGTTTTATCACAAGTTCCATCAAGATTGATGTAATCAGTTGATGTAGTGCATTTGGTACATTTTGCTTTTGTATTTTCAGCAACTTCCATACATGCAGCACATCCACTTCCACATGCATTTTCTGATGTATCACACTTTCCATTTGATGTGATTTTTCCAGTTGCACAATCAACACATTTGTTACCATTAATGTATTTGAAGTTGGTTTTTGTATTACATTTAGTACATTTGACATTATTGGTATCGGTTGTGTCTTCAACACATGTTGCACAGTTATAATCAGCAAAACAGGCAGTACACACCCCTTTAGAAGAAAGATATCCAACAAAACCCGTGACACATTGTGAACAACCATCTTTAGTACATTTTGCACAATTGGCCGCACATTTCATACACACATTACCATTTTTATAATAACCATCACTACAACTAGTACAAATGTTAGCATCACTGCAAGTTGAACAGCCAGTTGCACATGTTTTGCATTTACCTCCTTCAAGATAATATCCAACTGTGCATGAAACACAAGTTGTTTTATCTTCTTTACACTTCGAACATCCTGTTGCAGAAGCATCACACGCAACCTCTTTTTTGCATGTTGTTTTGTCCATATAATATCCAGTCGTACATGCAGTACAAATGTTAGTATCAGTGCAAGTTGAACAGCCAGTTGCACATTTTATGCATGCTTTTGTGTCTAAATGATAACCATTTATGCATTCATTACAAATTGTAGCATCACTACACTTCGAACAGCCAGTTGCACATTTTTTGCAAGAACTAATGTCCAAATAATATCCATCATTACAATTAGTACAAGATGTGGCATCACGACACATTTGACAACCAACTGCACATTCTGTGCATTTACTTCCGTCAAGATAATACCCATCATTGCATGCGGTACAGACAGTGGCAGAAGTACAAACTGAACAGCCTTTTGAACATTTTGTGCAAAATCCATTTTGTTCGAGAAGATAACCATCTGTGCAAGCTGTGCATTTAGTCGTGTCAGTACAGATATAACAGCCATCTGAACATGCTGTGCATTCCCCATTGTTAACATAATAACCTCCATTACACCATTCACATTTTGTTGGATCATCCATCATACATAAATGGCAATTTTTAACAGGTGGTTTACATTCAATTGAAAAAGCAGTAAATACTGTAAATGATAAGAAGATTAAAGTTCTCATTGAATGATAATCAAGTTGATAAAAACGTTTTTATACCCAAAGTTGTTCTTTTTATTTGTTTGTTTTAAAACAAGTTGTCTATTAGATTTTTCGACACGTTTGGTTTGGCTACCTCTCGTTTCAATTTATTATTCGCTTCATATCATAGTGATAATAGTGATAAAAACATTGTAACCAAAAACAGGTGCAAGTTTTAATTGTCATACAAATTGAGTTTAAAATTACAAATATAACTTTTGAAATATCAAAATAATTTTATGGTAGTAATATAAAAAATTATATATAATATTCACATACAGTGATATTATTTTAAACAATATAATTAATAAAAAAACTGCACAAAACAAAATATTTTAAACTTGTTTCTTTTTTGAGTCTCATTCAACTCTTCCACCATTTGAAATCACAGTAAAAACTCCCAATAGCGGGAGAGTGTGGTAAATCTGTTTTATCAAGAGCGGGCATTTTTGGCCAATCAAACCTTAGATATCGCTTGATAGAGAACTATATTTTAGTTTTAGTCTAAAATGCCCTCTCTTGAGATGTATCACTTTTGGGAGGTTTTACTGTATTTAACATAATATACACATAATTGTTTTAAATGACAACATAAACATCGTTTAAAACATTGTCTGTGACATACAAAGTTTGTATTTATAATCCTTTAATACTTAATTTTTTGCCAATGGTAGTTAAGTTTATCTATTTTTGTATTTTTTGTTTTCAAAATTTAGTTTTGGAATTATTATTAAAAGAAAAAAATAAAAAATCTTTAAAAACACATGCTAATTCATTTGATATGACAAGTTTTCCAAAAGAAGTTCAAACTAAAGAAGTTAATGCATTGAGTATTTGATTAAAACGGATTTGTTTTTAAAATTGATATTCTACTAATTGTTGAAATACACCAACAAACAAGTTGAATGCTTTGTGTAGTTTTAAAATAAAAGTATATATAAGTGAATGCTTGTACCAAAAAATATATAATAACACAAAAGCGAATAATTTGTGTTGAAAAATAATAAATGGTCAAAAAATACTATTTGTTTAATGAATTGTTTTTCTTGTGTTATAAATTTCTAATTTTTAATAACTAATTAAAATAAAAATATAAAAACCTAACAATTCCTAAAAAAATAAGTACAAAAGAAATATCTTAATATATATAAATGTATCTATTTACATACATTAATATTGGTGTTATACTATGTTGTTTGTTTTTGTTTTAATTAAGTGATTAAAATTTGACTTTAAAAAATGAATGTTTTTTTGTAAAACAATTTAAAAAATACTTCAATAAAAACATTTTAAAATATAAAATTATATTTGTTATTATTTTAAACAAATAACAAAACAAATTAAGACATAATAACAGCACACCAATTTGATCAATGATAAATTTAATGGTTACAAAATCGAACACGAAAACATTGTAAAAATTTAAAAACAAACTCTAATGTACAGATTAAAAAATTAAATAAAAAATATTAAGGATTATTTGTTTTTAAAATAATAGTTTGGGTTTTTTATTTTTTTAATTATATATTTTTTTAATAATTTATATAAATTATTATTATAATTTATTTAAAATTAATATGAATCAAGAATTAATTCTTATTAAATTGTTTGATTCTTAACAAGAATCAAACAATTAATTCTTGTCACCTTAACTTGTTTCATAAAAGCGTCATTTTTTTCAGTTACGATTTTGCGAAAAAAAAGATAAAAATTAAAAAATATTTTAAATTACTAATTATCATTAGTCTTGCGATATAAATGTAATTTAATTTTTTGTACAACAGTTCACTTTAACTTTCAATGCACTTGTTTATTTTTTTTATGTATTTTTTTCCAAACAAAATTACATGCTTTTGAATAATCGTTTTTAGTAAATGTTTATATATTTTTATGATTTTTTTTAAATATGACTATAATGGCTAAATTGAACTGAAGTAACAACAACAAACTGGCCAATTATTGACTGATCAAACTTTTTTATTATTCAGAACAGTTAAAATGTATTTTAATTTGTGTATACTGACTTTTACTCGCATAATATTTATATTTTGAAATTATGTTAATTGTTTTGCCAATTACTAATTTTTACTTTTTAATTTTTGAATATCTTAGCTGTTTAATACTATATTTATTATATAAGTTAATTATATTACATTGTTTTGTAATTCCTTTTTCGGACACACGTTTTTATATTTTGTTTTTAGACTATGTTAAGTCGAGATTTTTTAAAATTAGTTGTTACACGTAATTTATTTCTAAAATTAAATATATAATTTTCCAAAAAATAAACCTTTTCTATAATATAAACAATTTGTTTTTCAATTGGGAATTTAATAATTGATTTTGTCGAAGTTTATCCAGTTATCTAATTTATACGAACACATTTATCTTCAAAATAAATGAAACGATAGAACTTTTTAAGTCAAAAATTGTTTGAAAATCGATGCAATTTTTTGGTAAGTCACTCCAACAATAATTATATATAAACTAACACATCATAATATCAGGAAAACTTAATATGTTAACTATTTATTTTTGCATCAAATTTGTTTATTTTTTAATGTTCAATTAATTAAGAATCATTTTATCATGTGTAATTAATCGAAACGCTACGTTTAAATTCAACAAAATTTGGTAATGATCAACATATTTACTTAATATCAACAATTAATCGAATTACTTTATTTATTTAACATGATTTACGTCAATTATATCCAAATGTATTTTAATATAAATAGTAAAATACAATTTACTCTATATTTTAATCATAATGAAATGTAAAATGATAGTTTTTATTTTTTTAGTGTTAAAATGATTTTCTTTGTTTCTAAAAATAGTAAAAATAATGAAGATTTTATGGATAAGGAAAAATAACAGGGAGATAAAATAAATTTCAAAATAATAAAAAGGTCATACACTTTTTGTTTCTGTTTAACATTATTTTATTTTTATCATTATAAAACTTAAGTCTTATAATTAACATGATTTCAGAATCTCGACAAAAAGAGAAGTTGCGTTGTATAAAAGAAAGGATATTACTTTGTTCACTTTGAATTTTAAAGATTTTTTAAAGAAAAGAAAAAAAATAAAAATATGCCCAAATGAAAAAAATAAAATTATTTAAAAAATTATTAAAAAGAAAATATAAAATGAAAAGAAGAGAAGAGAAAGATTCTGAATTTATAATAAAATGTATTGTTTGTAGTTGTTATTATTTATAATAAAATTAAAAAAATACATATATAAATCAAAAAAATAAATAATAAACAATAATAAGCACTCCTGTAAAGCATGGTCAATGTGAAAATAAATAAGTTAAATGCAGTTGTTACTTGCATAACACATAAAAAAATGAAGGTACCAGTTTTTTGATCTGTTAAATATGTAAAAATCCGAGTTAATTTGTAAAAATTAAAGTTTATAAGATGTCACAATATGACAGTTGTTATAAAAAACGTCATCAAAACCATATTATTCATTTTAAAAAGATGTTTTTAACCATATTTTTATTTGTTATAAACTTAAATAATATTATTAATGGTTGATAAAAAAATAAAATGTAATTTTGAATTCCTTTTGAACTTGTGGCACTTGACTTAATTATACGGGTCAGCACAACTTACATTGAAATTATTCAGAAATATGTAACATATTTTCATGAATATGAATATAACATAACATAACATGAATTTTTCAATCATTTTGAAATGCCTTCGTTTTTATCAATGGTTGGGTTGCTTCTTCTTTCAAGAAATCGAACAGGGACTACGCAACCCCGTTCGCTCAAAAACTCTTGAATTCTGAAGGCATACTCTCTATAGTCGAATAATCTGACATCATAAGTACCCTCTTTTTCTTTTCCAATTGGCTTTTTAACATAACCACATATGTGAAAGGTCGATGTTTTGTTATTGTTTACACGGGCAATTTTGAAAGATTGGATTATTTCAACTACTCTTTTTGTGACCATACAAACAGACAACATATTCAACTAAGCAGAATCGATAACACCATCACCATCTTTAAATTCTCAATTTTTCATATTTCTTTTTTGGAGCCTTCTTGATTTCATTTGCAACATCATCTTATTGAAACAAAATATCAATGAGGTACCTTATACCAACAAGCCAAGACACGTTTGAAGTACCCATTACTCTCTGTTAGTTAATAATGATAAAAGAAATGTAACAACAGTAACAAGACTTATACCAGCTTTGAATAACGAGATCATTTCAATAAATTCTTACGTCTAGTTCTAATTTAAGACATCTTTCAAGCCACAACGTGTATATATCTTCCGTGATGAAGGCTATGCTTTGGTATGCAATTTTAACATCATCTCTGTCTATGTATATGTTGATTTCATTTTTCAATGTCAAGTTTGATAGTATTATCATATGTTTCAATGTGGTGTTGTTGGCAAATATGCCTGCAATCAGTGTTATGCGTTTTTGAGAGCGATCAACAGAGTAAGAGTTAATGTAGTCGTAGTTGTCATCAACATAAATGGTGCACTTCTTCGAGTCTACAAATAGACGATAACCACTTTCATCGATGTTGATAAGAAAAAGTTTAACTCCATTCAAATGGACAACTCTTTCACCAGAATATTGTTTGTCATTGTTCAACAAATCAGCTGCTCTCGTTTCATAGCTTTTTAACTCGTCTTTACTCAGCTCGGCTCTCTCCTTATCCATTGGTTTTGCAATCTTCTTAATTAAACCTTTTTTCCCAAAACTGTTTGTGATAGTTTATTTTGATACTTTTTATAACAACTCTTTCCACAACATCTCCAAGTTCTATGTCAGTGTTTAATTTGATAATGTTTAGTTTTTCTTGAATTATTTTTAACAACAATAGTGTTGTTGTTTGATTAATTTCTCGTTTTATTCCAGACTTCCCTTCAACATCGTCATACAAGTTCTTGAGGTGGGCCGTCGAGGGTGTAGAAGGTGAGACGCTCTACTCTTTGGCCTTTAGTTTCAATTGAAACCTATTCAAGCCGTTTTTCACTTCTCAATAATTACATTTGTTGTTGGAGTGTTTGGCATTCCATGATTTCTGTTGCATGCGTTCCACGAACATTCAATAAATCCCAATTGTTTTTTTGAAGGAAAATAAATAAATATGGTTTTTATTATAAATTAATTTTTCAGATAAGTCATATTTATTTAATGATTCAAATTATTTTTAATTGACAATTCTTTGTTTGAAAAGTGTATATTTGCCGAATTATTCAGCAAATTGTTATTATATAAATATAGTATTATAGAAATTAAAGAAAATTTGTAAAAATCATTAAATTATAAAATATTTTTTAAGTTCAAGACAAATTTCAAAGCCACTTTTCACTATCAACTTCAAAACAATAACACCACTATTTAATGATGATTGTATCGAAGTATTTTAAAAGAATAATAGATTTCATTAAGATAATTAAAGTATGCAAAAACTTCAAAGCAATACCAAAAACGTATACTTTAAACTTTATATGTTTACACTCTCATTTTATTTTTTTTCTTAATGTCGAGACATATCACATTTATAAAAAACGGCAAAGTAGTGCCGGTGTACTTCAAGTATGTTTATTTATATCAATGTCATACTCTTTTTACCTCTCAAACAAATCTACTAAAAATGAATTTACACACGTTTTTTACACACAAGAGGATTATAAAAAATATCAAAGCTTTGAAGGAGCAACACATTTTCGTGGTCAAATCTTTTCTGGCCTTTTTATGATGACTATCCGCTTGTCGCATGTTATTTACATAGAATTGTCTAACTTGGTAATATTGGTTTTAACAACAATGGTAAACTTTCGTAAATAACACTAGACAGACGCCTTCGAACGATGCCAAGTAGTTGTTTTTAAATTGCATTTCTTTACAAAAAATGATCTTAGTGGTGTGAAAATAGTAAGTAAAGACTTTTCCAAAAATTCCAAAAAGTTGTCGGGAATAACATTTGGTAAAGAGTTGTCTGCTGTTGGACACAACGCGTTTTATGATGTTTGTGACATACAAAGTGTTGTAACTTTTGGTGTGACTAAATTGGATTCGTTGATCAACATATCTTCCTCACACATTTTTATAGGGTTCGCTCACAAATTACTTGTAACACAAAATGATACGACTCAACTGGATAAGTTGCAAATATCAAAAGTCTTTGCAATGTTAATCGAGGAAATTGGAAATATGGGTTTCAACAATTTCTATATAATATAAGAATTGGACATCTCAAAAAGTATCACAAAAATTGGGGTTTCCGCATTTTCTAATCCAAACCTCAAACGACTTGATTTGACTAATGTAGTCCAAATTGGCGAACAACCCAACATGAAAAGTGTTATTGTAATTACAATTCTTGCAACTATGTATTTTAAAAGTTTCCCATTTTTAAATTCATTAAAAAGAATTACTGTGTTAAACGGCAAAGTACTTTAATAGTATATGGCATGTTATATGAAAACCAAAGTAAAACAAGACCGGTGTTCAAGTATGCATTATTGTTACACAAAACCGATTAAGATAATTACAATGGAACCTCCCTATTTGTAAACTGATAACAAAAAATATTTTTTTTGTGTTAACATCAAATACATCGAATTTTTACAAAATGTTGAAATGATTGATTGGGGTAATTAATATCACTGTGACAAATTCGAAACCTGTCATTTTGTCACAAACTTCGGGGTATATTAGTGTACATCAATGTAACCAATTAGAAGAAATTGTCTGTAAAAGTGTTGGTAAGAAATTAAAGTTCTTTTCTTGTGATAAGTTAGGTAAAGTAACACTGTCAGCCATACCAGAGTACAACGCGAACGTTCAGTTAGTCGTCAAATGCCCAATTTTGAGTGAAATGGTCATCGTAAATGTTCCACATAATAGTATTTACAAAGGAAGAATAAAATAAATAATTTTTGTAAATTAGTGAAACAAAACATCAGCTTTGAAGATGTTGTATATGATGGATACCACATTTACAATACAGGCCGTGAAGATGTATATTATACAAATGAAGATTAAAATCAAAATAGCGATAAATTAGATGATAAAAAAGAAAATAAATAATGTGTTGACTACAGTTATTGTACCAGAAGGTGTCACAACTATACCAACAATGTCCATACCAGCTTCATTTAACAATATAAAGTTGGTTCTCTTTTTAACGATCAAGAATAATAAAGCAATACCATTGACTGTGTTAATTTGAAAAAAGTTGTTGGGTTAACTCAAAATGTCGTTATTGAAAAAAACGCATTCATAAACTGTGATAAAAATGTTGTTGGGCTTTACAACTTCGTTGATTAAATCAAAGCTATTAGTCATTTTTTGCAGTGAGATAATTAAAAAGTACAACTATACTTTTATTTAGATTTAATAATTATAAAATTTATTATAATTATTTTTTGAAATTTTAGCAACTATCCAACAACCAAATAATACTCTTTTTAACATTTTTTTAAAGTTTCTACCAAAATTTTAAATTAATTTTAAATAAATAGTGGCATACGTTTCAAAAAACTTTGTTTTTGAAAATAAAAAAATAATGGTAATCAATTAACTTTCAAACAATTTTGGGCTTCAAAAAGGTGTGTTATATAACATACTTTATTCTTGTGATATGAAAACGTTTTTATTATAACAACATTGTTAATGAATCAACTGTATAATATATGTGAAGTAGTTATTTAAGTTGGGTATTTAGTTTATTAATAATAATTTTTAATATTTTTATTTAAAATGTTTAAATACTTTTAAATTCTAGTATTTTTAAAAATAAAAAATAACATTTTAGCAAAACATGTGTGTTAAATCTATTTAAATGACAACTAACCAATAATTTGAGTGTTACATTTTTTAAAAAGTGTTTGAATATTTGCAACTTTCGTTGGAATAGAAACTAAATTTCGATAAATGACAATTGAGTATATTGTTTTCACTTTTCATACTTTATTGAATTGTTTCAAATTTAATGTTTCAACAATATAGACTTAAAAATATGTACAGATGTGAGAATAAAGTTTTAAATAAATACTAGAATTTCGACTTATCAATCAAATACAATTTAAATAATAATTAACAAGTTTTCTTGTTTATTTTTAAAACAATATTTAAATATACCTTTTGATTTAGAGTTTTTATAATATATATAAAAATTATAAATCATTAGTCGAAACCATGTTTCTGGTCGTAAGCTTAGTACCACATTTGTATCAGTTTAAATTGTATTTAATTGTTTTTAAACTCACTTTTTCAACTAAAATGAAATCTTGTTTTAACTTGATTATAAAAAAATATTTCCCAATTTAAATTAAAAAAACATTATTTAAACATGTTTCAACTATTAAGTGTATATGTTGGTTCTTTGTTTAATTGTAATAGCTTCAGCTCGATATTATGTTTATACACTCACTAATGGTATAACTGAAGTAGATATAATTGGCCAATGTTATTATAATAAAGATAAAAGTTATTCAAAACTTGAAGAAGATGAAGATAAAATTAAAAAATTTACTTCTACAAAATGTGCCGATTGGAAAGACGAAGGAAGTGAATCATTACCTGATGGCGCCAAAATCCAAAACGAATTGCCCGACTATTATTATGTTCTTTATAAATATTATGATCGCATTGATTGCAAATTGGGTGAGAGTGAATCTCATCCAAATATATTGTTATTTAATCAATGCACAAAATATTCAGATTGGTCTTCCGAACTTGCAGAAATAACAGATAAAAAGCTTAAAATATCGTTTTATAAATCGGAAAACTGCACCGGGGATAATGTTATTAAACCTAAAATTATTGAACTAAATAAATGCATAGATTTTAATGGCGAACATCGCATTGTTTCGAAAAGTGTAAATGAAATTATTCCCGATGGTGCTTATGAATTATTTGCATTTCTTGGTTTTTTTATGATGTTTTTGTTTTAGGTGTTTAAACAATTTGTTTTTGTTGTTGTGATTATAATTGTTTGTATATTATTGTCAATGTCTATATCATTTGTTTACAATCATTTAACTTTTTACTCAAAGTTTATTGCACTTAATTTAAATTCAGCAAATAAAAAATACACATATAAAAAATTATGTAAATATCAGTTAAATTAAAATAAAACAAATGTTAAATAATTGTTAAAATTGTTAAAATATCAACATCTTTTCTTGTAATTTTAGTGTTATCAAATTGGTATTTTCATCAATAATATTTTACATAATTATTAACTTAGTAATTTTATTTATTAATTTTTACAATTGTTATTAATTTACATTTATATATAATTGCATACCTTTGACAATTATAACATTTATAAAAAATTAAACGGATTTTATATGTGTTGATTTTAAATAAATAATAATCAACCTTCATGTTGTAATAATTAAAAATATACATTGATATAATACCTTTCGAAAATAACAAAAAATGATAATCATTTAAATTATTGAGGTCCATTGATTAATTTTGCTATATTTCTTTTTGTCCCTTTGATTGTCTCGATTTTGGTGTTTGCTGTTATACTTTCAAAACTCGACTTTTGGTGTTTTAAAAGCTTTGCAGAGTTTATAAATAACTTTTTTACTTCTACACAATCAAATTCGATGTTTTCTGCGTTACCCATTGTAATTTCTTCAAAACAACCGTACCTAAATTTAATGTTTTTTATATCCCCAAATTTAGCAGTAATTTTGTCTTTTCTTTTAATATTTTGACTTACTATAACTTCATCAAAAGTTTCTAACGACAAGTTGAAATTACACGGATCACCAATATGGATGTTATGATAATAATATTTGACTCCTTTTGCTTTAAATTGGCATACGTGTTTTCTAAGACGCTCCACATTAATAGTAACGTCTTGTGTGTCTTGATACACATCAAAGATAGTGTGTTTCTTAAAGTCGACAATATACACACTCAAAGGTTTGTCTTCTCGCACAAATTTAACACAATTCAACGAGTTAAAACACTCAAATTCAGTCAAGTTTTCATCATTAACAAGCAAAGGACTTCCTTTGTAATTCAAAACGTAAATTCTTGTCAGTTTCAATTTGTCAATTTTCAGGTTTCCAGTCACTTCTTCTATTTTCAATTTCTCCAATTTGATTGGAAGAGCCAATTCTGTGACATTCACATTTTTTAAAGAGACCACCCGAATATTTTCTGAATTTAAAATATTCAAATTGACATCTACGGCATATTTATATGGATCGTCTTGATACCCATTGCCATCCCAAAACAGTTGTTTAGGTGGTCGAAACACAACAATTCCACTACAAAAAGAGTCTTTAACTGCATTTTCAATAATTTCCTCGTGACCATTCATATTGGACATTACTTTCACAAGTCGTTCAAAATCATTGAATTGTGATTTAAGTGTGCAGAAATCTGGAATGTACTTCATTCCCATCGTTTCTTTGGCAAGAAATTGCACATGGAAATTAACGTTGTCGTTATGTGTAATCTTTTTAATAATATCAAGTGGGTTGGTTTTTGTTTTAGTAACGTTAATATCATTAAAATGATTATCACAAAATTCACATCTTTTTTACTTGAAAAATCAAATGAGAGCAAATGTTTCAATTTCTTAATTGTAATCATCACAGTCACTTTTTGAAGGGATTTGGTGTTAAAAAAGTCTTTCAATTGGGCACTTCCTTTGTCATCTTTTATTCGATTAAAATACGATTTAAACTTTACATAAAACGACTGCGAAAGATCTAAAATGCGTTTTTTAAATTTTTATACAACTCACCATTTTTAGCAACAATTAAAACTTCATTAGTAAATAATCGAATTTTTCTGACTTTTGGAGGAAACCATTTTGTTTTTAAAGTGTTCTCCATTTTCAATGATTGCTTGTTCTGTGCTTACACAAGCGAGTTATTAACTTCAATAAGAGGGATGTCATCACTCGAAAATTTTTTTGGACAACTGGAAAAAGAATTAAAATATAAAGTCTGCAGATTTAAAAAGATATAAATGATATCTTCAATAGCAACAGTTTGACTTAAATTGTATGTGTTGATATACATTGTCTGCACTGCTTCATGACAAGATTTGTTGATCAACATAAAGTTTGTTACATCTTCTAATGTGTTAAGATATAATATAATGTTTTTCATAAAAATCTGTTGTAGACATGTCATGTTTTTCAATATTTTTAATTAATTTGATTTCATTTAACTTTTTGTAAAAAAAGAGGTTTATAAGCAAAAATGAATATTTAATATAAATGATACAAACTTTTATAATAAATATTATAATCAAAATTTTACAAGTTGTAAGCTATTATTCAAATATTTGAAAATATTAAAAAATAAGACTTAACATTTTAATAATCCCCTTTTAATTGACCTGTTATTACTAAGATTTATAGTCATTTTGATGTTTTTAGGATTTTGTTATGTTAAACAGAATAAACTATTAAATAACTAAAAGTATATTAATAAACTATAAATTTCCTGATTTTAGACCACTTGAATTATGTTCAGTGTTATTTAAAATTTTAACAAAAAAATATAAAACTTAGTAAAAATTATAAAACAATTTTAGAATTGTTTTTACAAAAAAAATCGGTTAAAGTAACTTTAAAAATAATTGGACAACATTGGAGAGCCGATATAATAATTGATAAAGTATTGTTAAAACACTCTAAATATCTTAATGTTAAATATATATTTTGTATAAAAAAATATCAAAATTTTTTACTTACCATACGCATTGTAAGTCGATAAATCTGTGTTCATTTCTTATAGATTTGATGTATTTGTCATCATTGTTGGGATCGTTTCGATCATATGATTATTTTTCTTCTTCATTCTTTTCTTCTTTAACTTCGTCATCACTGTCATCAATTATTTGGCAAGGGCTATTTGCTACGTTATTATTTCTACTATGATTACCACAAGGAATTCCATTCAACAATGTGAGTTGTTTTAATTCGCTCAAATTATCTGCCTTTGAACTCCCTGAAAGTTGGAGCTCCACAAGAGAGGTTGGAAATTTGACACTGACACTCCCACCATTCAAAGTGAATTTCGTCAAACACGTCAAAGCTCTCAAATCGGCGTCACAGAATTGACGCACACTGACGTTTCCTTCAGTGATTGCATACAACTGATTAACCTTTCCTCCGTTCTCATAAAACACGCCATGTAAGTCTCTAGCTTTGATATATGGAGGAACCATTAAATAAACACCAATTGTTGTAGTTGCATTGAAACTGTAGTATTTGTTAGTGTTGCCAATTTTATTTCTTAAAAGTTCAAAATTGTCATAATGGTTAAAACTATAAACGCAAAATTTGATGGGTATAGTAACATGCTTGACATTTTGGATTTTTCTAATTGACTCCTCGTTTGTAAATATAATTCCACATCGTAATTCAACAAATCTGAGATTGGGATAGTCGTCAATGTACTCAGCGACTTTTTCAAACTCTTTTGTATTATGTAAATAAACTCTAATTACATTGGTCATCGGAGAACTTGGTTTTTCATCATAAATATTATATACTGTGTCAGATATACTTTTTACGGAGCTCTTTAATATTTTTGAATAATGACTTTCATTAATAATATGAAGTTGTTTGAACATTGCCAATGTTTCGTCAGATGTTTTATTGACAGTATAAGGGTCTATTTGTAAAACTTCTAATTTTGGAAGGTATTTTAACATCTTTTTAATAATAGTTTCTGAACAATTATTGGAATTTCTGGACCATGGATTGGTAGTTAATAATTCAACTGATTTGCCACATTTGTGAGATATATAAATGAAATGCTCAATATCAGTTTGAGTCAAATAAGAGAATATACTTTTCAAAGAAGCAAGCGGAAAACAATCACTGGCTGGGACATCGAATGTAATTTATTAATTGTTGTGTCATTTAAATATAAATTTATTTTTTCATATTGTTAATATATAAATTCATTGAATTTTATAATGAATAAAACTGATTAAATTATTATCTGTGTAATTTTATTTTGTGTAGTGAAATAATGTATAATTAATATAAAAGCGTATTTGTTAAATTATTTTTAAAAACTTAATATTATTCTTATTTATATATTTCATATACGTCAAAAAGTGTATTTATAAATAATAATATAATATAATTTTATTTAAAAAATGTATAACATTGTATTTCATTTTAATTGTTTTTTAAATACTTAACACTTTAAATATCATCTAATTCAAGTTATCTGAAAAACGGGAAATCTAAAGTTTATTAAATTAATTTCCATTGTTTAGAGTTTATATTATGTGCATAAACAATACACGAGCCAAAAAGTAAATTTTTCAAATTTGGATTAATATCCCTGTAAAAATGGGCCAAAACAAAAATAAGGGCGTTATTTAAATGTTAATAATAATTATTACACAATTTTAACACTATTTATTACTTTTAATAACATAAAGTTTACACATAATTTATACAGTTTATATGCCATATGATACATTACAAAATCAAAAATAATTATCATTATTAAGTTTATTCGTATTAAAAAAATATACCAAAAAACAAAAATGCATTTTTAACAAATAACCATACAAAAACTGAACTCAACAGCCATACGTTTATTATTTTTGGACATTTTTAATATATTAAAATCAACCATATATTCGGTTTTAGAAATGATTGTTTAAATTCTTTACAATTTTTAATAAATTTTAAAGTTGAAAATGGTGTTTTTTAGTTACAAAAAGTTGTGATTTGTCTGTAACATAAATATAAAATATGCAATTTTTAATTTAATTAAATTTAAGTCCGTACGCCAACTCATCGATTTTACAATTTTTAATGTCTTCAAATAAAACATTTTCTTTAGCAACAGAATGATAGAAACAAAATTCTTTGATTCTTCTGACACTTTTTGGTACTTTAATATAATCAAAGTCTTTGTAATTTCTAAAACAGTTTTCATCCAGTTGAACTACATCATTTGGCACTTCCCCGATTCTATTTTTATGCTCTTCTGTAATTTTCAAATGTTTTTTAATGTCACTTCCCATAAAAACTACGTTCTTGCATCCAACACAATTTTTCTTTAATATTTGATGAGTGTCATAAGAAACTGGCATATCATTTTCAACAAGCACCACATTGTTGACAATAAACTGACTCAAAAAATTACAATTCTCAAAAGCAGTTGGTGAAATGTTATTAAGTTTTTTCGCGAATATCACTTTTTGAAGTTTTGAGCATTCTTTGAAAGCATAATTATCAATGAAAGTGACTGATAATGGTATTTGTATATCTTCCAAACTTTCACACTTTCCAAAGCAACTCTCTCCAATTCTTTCGACACGTTTTCCAATTGAAATTTTGGTGAGTGACAGACATTTAAAGAATGAATAATTTTCAATTGATGTGACATTATTTGGGATGTCAATTTCTTTGAGGTAATAACATCCTTGAAAAGTCTTATTCAATTTAATTCTGTTTTTACTTGTTTTTAAAACATCAAATGAAGTCAGTGACTGGCACCACCCAAATACGGCTTCATACTCAAAAAGAGTATCTGGGAATGTTGCACTTATTAGTTGGGAACAATTTCGAAAAGCGCTATCTTTCACATGTGCCACACTTTTTGGTATAAAAACGTGAGTCAGTGCACAACATTGAAATGCACATTTCCCAATATGGACAAGACTCTCTGGAAAATTAATTGTATCGAGAGAAACACACCACTCAAAAGCATTATCTTCAATTGATGTTAAAGTTGTTGGCAATATGACCTCTTTTAAATTTTGGTAGTGTTGAAAACACCGACACGAAATTGTATTTACATTTTCTGGTATTTCTAAAATAGAAAGCGCTGTTGTGTCATCTGATTTGTCGAGTGTCAAATGGACGTTTTGAAGGTATTTATAAATAAAAAGTTGGTCATATTTGATAAATATGTTGTCACAAACTATTTTCAACTTTTTTAAATGGCGCATTTCATCGATACTTACAAAACCCGAAAATATCTTTTTGCCACACAAATCCACACTTTTAAGTGCAGTACATTTATAAAAAATGTTTCTACCTATTTTTGTGAGTGTTGTTGGAATTGTTACAGCTATAACACTTGGATCAAACAAATTGTTACCGACTTCACGGACACGCCCCAAATCTATTTTATCGTAGCATTTGCCATGGAAAAAGTTTTTGTGAATTTTAGTGACATTTGATGGTATTGTAATACTTTTAACAACATCATCTTTGATAATACGACGTTTAATTTCAACTAAATATTTACACTTTGCAATTGTCTCAAATTTTTGAAGTTCATCATTTCCATCAAAAAGAAAAAGTACACTCGAATAAGTATACCCAAATTTATCTAAAATTGGCGTTTCATCAAGACTTGGTGTGAAAGTAACTTTCATATCCACATTGGGTATTTTGAGTTTTGTTAGAGACGTGCACCCTTCAAAACATCCAAATTCAATTTTAACATCATCACTTAAAACTATTTCTTCAAGGAAATTGTAGTTTTTAAAACAGTAATCACAAATTGATGTAATTTTTTCAAGACCATATATGTGACGAATAGAGGTCATATATTGAGTACGTTGTATATCGTGATAATTTAGGTGTTGTGTGTTGAACGGAATAACAAAAACCTATTTGTTACTTATTATTTCATTTTAATATAACGATTATAATTAAAACACATCCAATGTTAATAAAATGTTACTAATTATATAATAATAATCAAAAAAAAAACATTTTATTGTTTATAAGATAAACATGTACATGTAAAATATTATATGTAAAATAATTTATTATGATCATATTAATTATCAGAGCGTGTGATATGTTTATATTTAAAATACCATGTTTTATAATTAAATAAATATTAATTTGTACGTTAGTAAATAAAATAATATTTAACAAACTTCTTTAGTTGTATTTGTGTCCAAATTTTCTTTAAATTGGTTATTGTACAATTCAGAATTATTATCCATTGTATACTCATAATTATCATAAAACTTTTTTACGATCTTACTACATTCTTTTGACACTTGATTTATCACTTTTTTATTTAAAGTTGGCACAACAAGTTTAGTTAAAGACGTGCAATTATTAAAAGCGTTGTCTGCTATATAGCACTTTTGATTAAAAACGAGGTCTTTGATCTTTTTACAATTATTAAAAGCAAGTGAATCAACATAACACACACTTTCTGGTATATTAACATATTCAAGTTGAATGCATCCATTAAACACAGAAGTTTTGATAAATTTTAATTTTTTTGGGAGTTCAACTTTTGACAAGTTTGTGCATAATTGAAACACATAATCTTCAATAATTTTTACGTTGTTTGATATTTTAACATCTACAAGTTTTACACATTTCTCGAAAGCTGAATTTTCAATAACATAAATCGATGATGGAATTATAAGTCTTTCAAATCCACAATTATAAAAAGAATTATTTTTAATTCCAGTTATTGAAGGCGGAAAGTTGATATTTTTTAATTGAACACAATTTTCAAAGCAACCGTTTGGAATATCCTTAAGACTTTCAGAGAGCGTTACTCTTTCAAGTTTCATATGATCTTGAAAAGTATAAAACTGTAAACTTGTTACCGTGTTTGGTATTATAACTTCAGAAACACCAAACAAATAAAACAAATGTTTGCCATAAGATTTAATATTTGTGTTGTTCAAAAGTTTTTGAAGCTCAGTGTATGTTGTTATCTTTTTGTTATAAATATCAACTAAAGATACCGAAATGTTTTTAAATGTACAAGGACATTGAGTTGATATATCTATCGAATCGGTTAAAGAAACCGGTTTCCATAAAACAATATTATTAATATCATTCAAAACAACACCAAAATCGTATAAATGCTGTGTTTCCATATATGGAAACAATCTTTTGCTATCCACTTGTATCGGGTTGTATCGAAATCGGTCTAAAATGAAAGAAAATTTTTTGCACATTAAAATTGAGTTAATAAAATCCTTTTCAAAATAAAAATATTGGACGACTATTTGGAAATTAAATACATCAAGTTGTACAAACATTTGGATTATATAACAAGTTTTAAATATTTATATATATATATATATATATAGAATAAAATCCTCAATAATTAAATGATTTTTGATTTTAATGATTTAAATAATGTTTTATATTATATAGTTATTATATTAAAAATCGATAAATAGTATTAATACTTTTTCAATTATTTAAATTATTTATTGAGTAATATTTATTCTAAAAAGTTATTAATTAATTATTCAATTAATTGTTAATAATTTTTGGGTTTATTTTGTTTATTATTTTGGGAAACCGGTTTTTGTAAAAACAACCAATTGTTTTTCAAGTAAAAAAAATATTTTTTTATCGCTTGCTTGACTCGCACTTGAAAAAAAAACGCTAGGAATAAATGCACTTACATTCAGTTTGTGAGTATGTTAAAATATTTTTTTGTAGTTTAAAATGCATTTCTGACAAAATGAGGAATCCAACAATATATAAAATTAAAAAGTCGGTGTTTTTACTGTAAATTTTAATTAGACAAAAAACATATGATTAATTTTAAATAATAGTTTATTTTCAAAAATACATATTTTAAAACAATGTCCAAATATTTTTTTACCCAGAGGTTTCCAAAATCACAATCCCAATTACCCACGTCACCATTTCATAATCAAAATGTTCTTTTTCTCTTATAAATTCGTACGTTATAATACCACATTTTCGGCAATAATTATTTTGGAAACCTCTGTTTTTACCAATATTCAAATTAATAATTATTTCATTGTAGATTAATTTAATTGATATATAATTATTCTGTTTTTCCAAATTAATTATTGAAATGTATTTTAAACTATAAATATTTAATATTTTAAACTAAAAATATTTCAATTATCAAACAACTTTATTGTATTTTGATGTTATTCTCAGTATTTTTTATTATATATATATAATAAATATATATATATTACCTTAAAATGAATACAATTAATTAAGATTACATGTACAATAATAAAGATATGAGTGTTGTTAAATTAAAAGATAAAAAATCAATTATTGGTAAAATGTTTAATAATAAATATTGAAATTGAAATGCAATCTGCTTGTTTAGATAAATTATTAATTATGGGTGAAGAATTTCCATTTAAATTTGAACAAATAATTGATTCTAATACTATATATATTTATCATATTATTATTGAACCATATATTAATTATGTTAGTAAATCATTAAAAAGTAATGATGAAATAACACTCAATTGGTAAACTAAGGATGGTATAATACATTAGACTACATTATCTTTAAATAAGATTATTAATTAATCAATTTATTAATAATGTATTTAAAAAATTTAAAAAACAATTAATATTGATAGAAAATTGGTAAAGAAAATCTCAACTTATGTTTATATTTTTGACATAAATTAACATTGTATTAACAATTTTCAACATGATATACACATTTTTGGGTGCTGGCTTTCGTCTGCAATCGCATTTATAAATAGAAATAGAACAAGTGAAATGTCCCGATAAAATAAAGTTATATACTTTGACATAAATTGTTATTTCATCAACAAAACTACAGTGAATAAAACCAAACAAACGGGTAATTACAATTGTCACTTTTTTCTCATATGTATAAACACAATCTTTGTTTTTATTTATTTGGTTAGTAAAATTAATATAATCAAAGACAATTGTGGCAAACTTTACTTGTAATTATAAAAAGTATAAATTAATTATACGGAAATATAATTTAGTTTAATTGTAACATAGAGTCGACACCAGTATGTTTACTGCGGAAAAAAAAACTTTTTGTTCTTCCGTTAAAGAGTTGAAATATATTCGGAGTTTTTCAATGTTTTTGAAATCAGTCCAATTGTTGCATCGTTTGGCCATGTGCCCACTTAAACTACAAATTCTACATATTTTTTGTTTTTCAAGAGAAAATAACATCTTTGATAGAGCGTGCTTCTTGTAAACTCTTTGAGTTTTTTTTCTGGGTTTTCGACAAGAAAAACTTTTTTACTTGGTCTCATTTGTGAATTTTTGAGAGTCGGTGGATCGAGTGAAAATGGGCTTCCTTCAATCTGTTTTACCTTTTCTTTTTCCAATTTTTCTTTAAAATTTGAACTGTTTAATTTATAAACAGTTGAAATAATGTTTAATCATTGTGCTTTAAGTGAGGGGGTGTAGAGTATGGTATCAACAATTTCATCAAAAGCGACGACATAATCTTTGCGTGTCCATAGATTTAATTTCTCAGTTACAGTTCGTTTCACAAAGGAGTGTTCGGCAATCGACACTTGATCCACAAAAGCACCAACACCAAAGTCTGACAGTTCAAAGAGTGGTTCTCGAAGTCCAAGTACTTTGTCATACAAGCGTCTATAAAGCTGATGAACACAACGACAAACGTGTTTGAGTTTTACATAAGCATCACATGGACAATAGTATGTGGTGGAACCTTCAAGTGGCGCGAGCATTGGGACCATTGAATAATTATTAAGAAGATAGACTATCCACTCACGTTTAATTTTGTTTATATTCTGAAGACCGATAAGCTTGTTGACGTTTTGTAATTGAATTTCTGTATAGTATGAAATATAATTATTCACAAATTTGTTTGCCTTCTCAATAAATATTTGTGTCACTTCAATCAAGGTAACAACTTTCCCGGTTGTTTCACGTTTTATTATTCCAAAAAAACCTTCGACTATATTTGTGGTCAAGTTGTGTGTGATTCTTTCTGTGTATTGAGGAATCCAACTTAATTTTGTTTCTTCGAGTTGCTCAAGAAATCTAGTCTTTTCGTTTTCCAATATTTTAACAGAAGAGTGTTGTTGACTTGATTGACAATAGTCAATAAATTCATGAAAAAGATCAACATTATCAAGAACTCCGCCTTCTTTGTGTATTCAGAATCTTTACATTCTGATTAATAAGTTGCAATTAATTCCAAAAATTGTTCACCTGCAATTTCCCGATTTATTAGCTTTTTAAAAAACTTATAAATTGTTGAATTTTTGCCAAAAGCGGTTATAATGTTGCGTCTTATATATCTGTAACAAAATACAATTTTTGCACTTGTAAATATCAAACGAATTGCTGTTGTTTGAGCAGGACAACGATCAACAACAAACGTGTTTATATTGTTGTGATGGTCTTTTAGAAAAGATAGAAATTCTTCGTAATAAGACGTGAATCTATGCCTGATAAATCCAAAAGCTATAAGTTGGCACTTTCATTTGATGTCTTTGCATAAAGCTGCAACAATTGGTATTTGAAATTTGTTGGTTCAAAACGTGTCGTCTAAAAAGACGCAATCTTGACAGATGTCATTTTTAAGTAACTTGTTAAAGAAAAAGCATTCATCAAAAACATCATTTGGATTGTTAACAAAAAGTGTATCAAAGTTTGACAACTCAAAAACAAACTTCAATAGTTGATTGCATTGTTCATTTGTCATTGCACCCAACATTCGTTTTCTTTCTTTTTTAATAAATAATTTGGTGTACTTGTTTTTGAGTTTGTCTTCTGTGATTTTTTTGCGAAACATTTTGCTCTATATCATTTGCAATTATCTCTTTTGTAATTTCTGACATTCGATTTTCCAACATTTTCATTGGTTTTATCGTGAATGCGTGTGAATGTCCATCATGTAACTCAAATTTAATTATCTTTTCACTTGTACAATTATCAAACTTCACAATAATTTTAGAATCACACTTATATTGTTGTTTGGATACACAGTTATATTTAAACGTTTTTCTATCTTTACCCGTGTCTTTTGCATTATATAGTGAAAACAAAGTATTATCAATTTGAATTCTGTTTGCTTCAACTATTTTTGTCGTTGTATTGTATCTAGCAAGACTCGTAGTTATCATTTTAAGTTTGTTGATTAATTCAATTGGAGTTCAGACTTTTGTTAAATCAGTGTTGTTTTTGATAATTAGTTGTACGTTGAATTTATCTGTAGATTCAATATTCTGAGTATTTGAAAATTTTGGTATCATAATTCCATTCAGTTTATCTATAAGTCCATTTTTCCGATTAAAAATATCTTCAAACCCCCTTTCCATTTTGTTATTTTTAAGTTTTATTTTTTTAAAAAAAACTTTATTTTAAAAACAAAGATTGTGTTTATACATATGAGAAAAAAGTGACAATTGTAATTACCCGTTTGTTTGGTTTTATTCACTGTAGTTTTGTTGATGAAATAACAATTTATGTCAAAGTATATAACTTTATTTTATCGGGACATTT